ACCTGTTCTAAATTTAGTTTGAACTGCATTTGCTATCTGTAAGGGTTTAATTGAAGTCTCCCTTCTTAGGATAAGTGCAATTCGTCAAGCGGATACGACGTCATGGCCACCACCATGTTGCCCCCGCATATTGTGTACATTGTAGATTAGGTAAGCTCGAAATGGACTATTCAGCGAGACATTTACCCTTACTGTCAATGGGCCGTCTGCTGTTACCCTATTTTCTCTTGTTAGAAATCATGGGTGGTTAGAATGTGCCTCTGGCGGCTCTCTCGGATAATCTGGAAGTCTGCTATTTCTCTCATCCGTCTTCATTTTCCGTCTTCATTTTCCTCAACAGCACATTGCTCTTAGCATGTCAATAAGCTTCTCTTTAACTTGAACAAACAAACAAACAATGATTCAGACCAGAAGTTCCACTGAAAGAACTCCCAGCTTATCGTCATTGCAAACCGTATCCAAAGCTGTGTACTGGCGTCAAATTACCTTCCCCTGTTTTGCCTGGGCCGTCCTCGTAACGCGTTTATAGATTTGGGACGTGTTTTTCGACATCCCTCTTCGAACCTTCTACCTGCGCTCGTTTTCAGGTAGATCGTATTTGAGCTTTGATTGGCATGATTGTGTTGATTTATTGTTTTGCCAAATTGGTTGTTTTTGTTTTTCTTTTGGCTTTTTAACCACCACCACGCCCCCTCTAAATCCCCCACCCGCTACAATTTTTCGCTCCTGTTTTTCACAGAAAAAGGCAAAACGGAAAGCTTTTCAGTCGTGTGTAAAGAGAACAGAATCCTCCCGAGCACCGCAATACGATGAACGTTGCCACATTCCTGTTTGGCTGATGAGGCTCTGGAACCGGTGCAAGAAAAACAAACGAGACACCCCAAGGGGAGGGTAGAGGAAGTCAATAGACTACTACTTTGTGTTCTGAATTACTCTTCCTTTTTTTACTTCTTTTCCAGCTTGTGTTGGGCTTTTTAGTTCGTTGCTAGTAAAGTTTCTCTTCCTCCTTATATATGTCTAGCCTCCCGTTTCCCAGTCCCCTGTCTCAGAGAGAATGATGGTATTTCGAGAAAGATTCTACAAATATAACTCTTACTGTCACTAGATCTATCAGTAAATTAATAGATGTAAGACGGAGGGGAAAAACTGACTAGATTGTTTGCTTTTTCTTGTATTAAAAATGTAATAGCAGTACTGTCTACTATCCGTTGGGAGTAAGTAAGTCAGTAAGTGAGTAAGTGATTAGTCTTCTCTCCCACTAAAGGGAGGCTCACCAACACCCCCATCCCTCACACCTTTTTGCCTTGCCAGCGGGGTGCTACTCGCTCGCCACAACCTGCCTCACGTTGGAGTAACTCTTGGATCGTTCGGGCGGACATTAACATTATGTCGTGTGGGTCGCATCCTTGCAGTGACGTGGCGTTCATCATTAAACCTGTACTATCATCATTATGTGCCACGTTTGAACCAAGCAAATGACCCCCCCCCCCCCCCCCGCACCTACACATACATCATAAAAATCCACCCCGCAGGTGATTTCAAGAGGGTTTTTTTACGACTCTCCCTCTCTCTCTCTCTCTCTCTCTCTCTCTCTCTCTCTCTCTCTCTCTCTCTCTCTCTCTCTCTCTGTCTCTCTCTTTCTCTCTCTCTGAGACAGTGCCTCCTATAGGTCCATGGTAACGTGACGTTAACCGACAGCACAAGTACCCCATTAACCAAGGTAAGAAATTGGTATTTAAACCAAATGAAGGTCAAACAGAGTCGAGGAAACTGCCAAGGAGGTGGGGTCAACAACCCACACTTACCTGCTCCACTGTATGTCTCCCTCTCCCCCAGGGCTTCCAATAGTTTCCCTATCAGAAACACAAAGAATCTACTATTAAGTTTCCTATAAACCCACAAGTGTGGAGCACACTTGTCTGATTTTCTTTAGTCTGTACGTGAATAACGGCAACCAAAATTTAGGGTACATTTTACGAACGATCGCCAGGCTTACGAATGACCGATACTACCGGTCAAAATCAAGGCAAAGTTTCGCTCCTACATCTTGAAACCGTTTTCTTAATGAACTTTTGTTCTACCCTTAGCTGTATTTTTACAAGCCTGTCTGATTTATTGACTCTACCTCTTCGCTCTGTCTGACCAGTTAAGTTGGGAAAAGAGTTCACTCTACCTTGACATGGTTTTACTGTGCATGTTCTAGCTCCTTTTCCTGAGCAGTATTCTTGTAAAAGAACCGGTGTGTGAGAAAAGATAGCTTTTTCTGAGAAAGGGGATGCAATACCCCTTCCCCACCCCGCCCCAAAAAAGTCCTCGCTACATATACGACATGAAGAAACATAAATGTTTATTCTCAATGGTTTACTCTCCTGTAGACTTAATTTAAATCGTTCTAGAAGATCTCAGCTTCGACCCATGCCTGTCAGGGTAACCTGTCCTGCCTGAGATACACAGAATAAAGACCTTAGATAAGCTTCCAAATGGAAAAATTTCACTTACCCAATAATGAAAATCTAACTTGTGTTTTTACCACCACAACTGCGGGCCAAGCCATTATAGCACGAACGCCAGGAGCGCCACAGGTGCTGTTACCGATGTTTCTGGTTCGTATCCCAAATAGAAAAGTCGACCCATCTCACTGTGAGCAATATATAATGAGAAGGACCAAAGGACAAACACAGCATTGATTTTAACAGATACATGTACAAGTTATCTTTCAAATTTGTTTGTGAAAAACATTTTTAACAGCCCATACTCGTTACAAACAACAGGAAATATTCTTTGAAAATTAAGCTCTTCTCTGCACATATTCTTTGCTCTGTTGAGTACTGGTCTTGACCCACACTGTACAGGGAGCAAAATTTGGTTGTTAGAATAACAATAGAGAAGGAATAGATTATTATATGCCACCTTACTAATAATTATTTGTTAAAGGGATATAGATCAAGTGTCCATGTGCTTTGTATTGGAGCATTCTGTTCCATTTTGTTTTTGAAAGTACAAATGGTTGATATTGTTTTGGTTTGGTGTTGTGTGCTTTTGAATATGTTGGGGTTTTTTTTAATTTTCCGGAAGCAATTAAAAAAGGTTAGGAAAAAGGAAAGGGGGAATGCGAGATGGAATGATCGAAAGAGCAGAAGAAAACCTAAACAACTCACAGCTGCCTTTTCACCGCCAGTTTAACTTATGTGCATGCTGCGTCTCTGTCTCGCTAATGGTGAACCTGTCTGTGTTACCGATTTGTATATCCGAAAATATTCTTACACCTTAACTTCATTTTTCTGTTGTGGATTGGTAGCTGGAGCTTGGCTGTGTTGGGATGTACCCACGCTCGAATCTGGAGGCACATTCATTAACATAGAAATCAATTATTTTCTAATGATTTTAAAGCATTGTTCTCTCCTGGACTAATCCAGAGTGCCGATTTCCTACGTTATCTCTATCGCTACATATTATATTTGTGAAAGTTCGTCACTTTGGCCGCCTAACTTAACTTTCGAATTTGACCAAATTAATGGTGGTTCTGAATCGTTTAAAGGGTGCACAGTTTTATTGAGGAACCTGAAGTCACTGTGGTTTAATTTTCAGTTTTTCATTAGTTTCGCTTAGATCTAATCATGGGAAAGTCCGTCTTCTAAGACGCCATTGTAAACAAGGGAGGTTTCTGTTTACTAGTCTCGGCACTGTTTCCACACTTTTGAAATTCTGAAGTGTACAGCCACGAAAGCGGAATAGAGAATCAGTATATACATCTATTATATATTTGGCAACTTGGAAACATATTTGTCACTTTTTCCTTAAAACTGCAGAGTTGAAAGTTGGCAAGTACCTGCAAAAAGATAGATAGGTCCCCATGACCGAGCCCGATTTTTTATTTATTCATTTCCTGAATTTAGAAAAATATATTTGACAAAAAGTTACCGTCCTTCTTCGGCCTTTGTGATTATTCCACTGTGAAACGAAACAAATCTACGTAGCTGTCCTCCGCTGCGGAAATGTCGGAAGTGATATTTCGCGAGGCACATTGTGTTTAGAGAGTATATATGTATAGATCTAGACCTTCTAATGTTTTGCATCTCTCAAGATTTATTGCTCCATTCCAGCAGAGTTGGCAGTAGGCCAAAGACTTTCAGTTGATGTTAATGCACAGATCATTCCTTTCATCAAAAGGAGGCCCAGCTAGTAATAATACATTCGTGTTGAGAAAAGCGTCAAAATCATGCCACACCCTCTTGTCTTCTTCAGTCTGTGCTGTTGTTTTTGTTGTTGCTTTTGTTGGCGCTTTTGTTGTTGTTGTGTTGTAGTTGTTGTTGTTGATGTTAATGTTGTTGTTGTTGTTCGTCACTATTGTTGTTATTCTAGTTGTAAGCCGCTCTATTTGACATAATGTAAGTCATTTCGGGAGTAGAACATCAGATACTCCGCCAGAAAATTAGGCTGAGACGAAATATTCCAGCCATGGATTTTACTAAATTAATTTCGGACCCAAGTCAGGTTTGGACCTCGAACTTGGATTCCCAGAATCAACTACATAACAAACAGCACTACATGGGCCTCTACTCTACAAGGGTACAAACATTGCTCAGGGGTAGAACTCTAATCCACTAATCCGCTAATGGGCTGATCCTGGGTTCAAATTCAATTTTCGATGTTGTAAAAGAAAGAAAGCAATGAATACACACCTGCAGAAAACAAAATCAGCAATTTTAACATCAAAGAAGCCCCTTATCAGGACCAACAGAAACAACTACAATAACAAAAATAACAACAACAAACGGGAAAACAATGACAGCAACAGCTCCATTGCGTCAGCAGATAGAACCATTCACTAACAAATTGATATTATTAAGACTTGCAGTCAGAAGCACACACTGTGGCGAGTGAAGCTCATTGACACCGACAGCCCTGGTTCCATGGCAACGTTGGCAATGCAATGTAATATTTACAAATGAATTTGAATTGGAAAAGTGAAGCTGATAAAATTTCATAACAAAATATCCGTTCTGGTTTTTCGTTTATTCAACAATTCTCTTTTTTTTCACGTACACATAATATAAGGTATAGCCTTTGAGTCCTGAAGTGAGAAGACGAAACCAGTCATGCCCAATTTTGCATTCAGTTGACATTCAGACAATTGCAAATGAAGGTTTTGAACATTGGTCTGCTGATGTTGTTCTTATTCTTTGAAAAATGTTTTACTCAGTGACTCGAACAGGCATAGCGGGTGTTTATCGAACTTGACAATATAACTTTTCAACTGTCAAATGAGTACAAGCTGTGCCTTCTGAGGAGAACACCGTAACAGCTGAAGGAAAATCTTTCATTGTGCTTGGCGCAGCACTCTGTTCGCGTGGTCCCAGGGCGTTGAGAGATGAACGATCAACATTTGTGGATAGTCAGTCAGTGAGCTCTCCCGTAAAAACGACCCAGTTTTGTTCGCTCTCCATTCTCCAACTTGTTGTTTTGACCTCCTATTAACAGTTACATAACATAATACGTGTTTATCATAATGTAATCAATAAAACTAAGGAGATATTTAACTTGTTTTTCACTCAGTTGGAACGTAAGTTGTAGTTTTTCTGCCATAAAAAAACTGAAAGGTACTGCCTTTGTATATATTATCTAGATGGTTTTTGTAGTCTGTTGAGACACTCAGGTAATTTCTTAGCGCGCAAGCCTCTTGGAACAACTGACCATTCAAAAAGCGTCCTAGAACAGACGGTAGTGGTGGTCCCTCGTCTGTACCCTATATGCATACATGCATGAGGGCTTTAGATAAGCGAGAGGAGTTGGTAACGTTGAAAAAGTAGGGTTTTATTTTTCAAGTATCCCAAATGGGCAGAGTTCCAATCATTGTTATGTCTAATCTCTTAGAAACTTCCGCTTGACACAAAGACCGGACAACGAAGATACAGCGCTGTCGGAAACTGGCTGAACTTGGCTCAGTACATGGGAGTCCTTCAAACTTCTCCAACAATTCTGAATCATTTTTTGGAGGGTTAGATGCCAAAAGCATAAAGTACAGAACACATCCAAGGCTCCAGATATCTGCTGGTTTACCTGAAAATGGCTTGTATAGTTTAACCTCGGGGGCTAAATACGCGTCTTGGCCCAAATAGTCCGAACACAAAATCTCCGAACCGGTGTCAGCGTCCACGCAGAGAACACAGAGGCCGAAGTCCGCCAGTTTGACCAGTTGATCGCTGAAGATGAGAACGTTGGTAGGGTTGAGGTCTCTGTGGGCCACACCCTGCCCATGACAAAACTCAACAGCTGCCACTATCTGTAAAAACGCCGTGCGAATGAACGAATTTTTCAGTCTACCGCCCTTCTTACTTGTGAACTGCTCCAGATTCCCCCCTCTGGCGTACTCCATAACAATACACGCTAGCCGATCACACAACAGAACCTCCTCTAGACCAATGATGTTCGGGTGCCGCAGGTCAATAAGTGCTCGGATTTCAGCCATTGTGTATCTGTCCTCAGATATCTTCCTACGTGCAACGAGCCGCTTGACAGCACAAACACAGCCAGTGGTCAGTTTGGTCACGGCGTAAACATCGCCGAAGCTGCCGTTTCCCACACAACGGTTGAGAGAGAAACCATTGTTCCCCAAGAAGGCGGCCCAGTGGTGAGGAGTTCGAACGAGCTCCATACCTAGATAGAAGAGATGTGTATGAGTAACCGATTGGTTTTACTTTTTAAAATTTTATTTTAATGCCTTTTCTGTCAATAGACTGGTCGGTTATAGCATATTATACAATGTTGACCTAACGCAATGTGGCATGTGCCTCAACACACGTTTCGGTAACCTGACCACCCCCCCCCCCTCAAAAAGACAGAAAAAGAAAAAGGGGAGGGGGGAGTGGGGGGGGGACTACTTCCGGGTTTTTTTCGGTAGTCTAGAAATTAAGTGCACTAATTAGTGAAGTCAGAACCCAACATCTGAAGAATGTCAAAACTTTGGAAACTGTCAACGGGGACAGTTCTTCCCCTTACCTTAACACCTGGGGGGGAACAGCATGTTGGTGCAATTGATAAGCTTTTAGCCTTGCACTCAAATTATGGGAATCTGGTCCCATATGGAATAGAGTTTATCAAGTACATGCAACAAGTACATTATATTACCAAAACATTCGATTGGCCCTGACACGTTCTCTATTCCCTAACCATGTAAAAGTGTGAAACATTCACAACTACTTTGTGCCATAACAGGGTCGATTGAGTAGTCACATGACAGGCTTGCTGAAAATCAAGCTTCTTTCTAAAGCTCATAACGCCCTTCAGCTTGGCAGAAGACATTAGTAAGCAACAGTGAGAACGGAGTAGGCTTGAAACCTTGCTACAATAATTCTTATCTTGAGCTTTAGGTGGAATTACAAAGTTTTACAAAGCTTCCTACATATTGCTATTTGTTGGTAAGTTGTGCCTTTTAAAGAATCTAGATTGATTAACAACTGTGGAAGAGGAAACTATGATAAAAGAAGTGTTGCTTTTGACTTAGAACTCAGTTCAACCCTCTCCTCTCTCTGGACATTGGGTGGGGGGGGAGGCAAGGAGTAGACCCCTGCAAACAAGTAAGGGGTACGTCCCTCTTGCGTTGGGATAGTATTTTCTCTCAGACGTACATGAAGAATATTTAGTTTAAGCTGGTGCCTTGTCTTTCCCTTCTTCCTTCTCCATGTCCTTCTCCTTTTTTCCTCAAAAGTAAATTCACTTTTGAAAAGGCCAACGACGCTCCCTTAGCTCAGTGGGTATCATGCTGTACTACAGAGTGGGCGGCCCTGGTTCGAATCCCCAACAAGGTGTCTGAAACTTTTTTTTTTGTTTTTTGTTTTTGTAGAGTTTTTAAAGCTTTTAACCCATTTGTCTCAGCCATTATATATATATTATAGAATGACGTTAAATGCGGAGGAGAGGTCCCACCTCTTAATTATCCTAAAAGTGTTGAAAGAACTCTCACGTTTACTTTCTGAAAAGGCCAACTTGTGACTGGCTGTATTTAACTTATAAAAAACGAAGACGAGTATCAATACATCAGTCCCTCTTTCTGAATAGTTTGCGTTTAGTCTATGGGAACTGTTACCTCACGCCATACTTTTGTATTTGTCGTGTATATATGTCTACCTACTTGTCCTCTGGTGATATACTTTTTGCTAAGTAGCCCAAGGCTTGCCGCAAAGTGCCATTTCCAGAGAGTACAAGGTAAGGATAGACAATCTACCCCACATTTTGCTATCTTGTACTTTATAATAGGTTTTATATATCAATAATAATAATGTATCCAGACGCTCAAATTAAAAACTGCCGCAAACTTACTGAAAATTCCTGGGCGCATAGCACTTTCTCATCCGGAGTGACAAACCGCCAGTGTCTGCTGTTCTTCCTTCAAGCCTCTTCTCGCTGGTTTCGTCTGATGGAGAAATGTCAGGACGTCTCTCGCTATCTCTTGGAATTGTGTCGGGTGATTTAGAAGTCTGCTGGCTGCGTCACTTCTGTCGCCGTAGCTGCAGAAGTAGGGAAAAGACAAAAATAGACCTTGATAATGCACGGCGCCTTAGAATTATGGGGTTTTATCTTGGTGCACAAACGCTACGTCGACTGTGAGTAAATGTCACATCTTTTTGCAGAGATTTCAGTGGGTGTTTTTAGAAAGTTCTTGATACCACAGATTGCGGTGTAAATACTACTTTTCCGGAAGAATAATCCCAACGATATAGTGCATTATTTAAATAGAATGATAGATTTGCAAAGTTTACCGTTACTCCGTTGAATAGATATAGAAGTGGGGTACAGACAACGATTTCACGATTTTAAAAAGCCGAGACCGAAAGATTAAGAATGATTTTTGTTACGTAGTTGAGCCATGGGCTTTTCCGTACTGTTAATTTTTTTCAACGTGCAACTGCTCTATTTGCTCTCCTCTATTTGCTCTCCTCTACCACAGTCAATGTTTTGTAATACACAACGAAACGTGCAATATTGGAGAGCTATTTCAGGTACGATCATAGGAAACCATCAATCAAGCGTTTTTCTTTGGCCCAGTTGCCTAACTTTTGGGATATAGAGTCTACTTCAAAGAACGTATTCAAATGTTGATAACACATTGAGAAATTTCGCTATTAGTTTAAGTGGCTGACTACTTACCAGCTCTCTAGCTTCTCCTGTTTATATTATTACCTGGTCGGTTTTTCGTTTTGTTTTTGTTTTCGGTTGTTTTGTTGTTGTTGTTGTTGTTTTGTTTTTTTGCGCGATATGTTAATGATTTTAAAGCTCATGATATATGTTGTAAGGGCATGGATATGCATTGTATTAGATCAATTATTATCATTATCGTTATTATCATAATTGTTATTTTATCATTAGTATTGTACCTTATAGGTTATATAATTATTTCTTGCGAAACGTGGCAGTTGTTGTGCTAATTATTCTTTGTAAAACAATACTTTGCTACTCAACAACAACCAGATAAGTTATTTGGCTTCTTTCTTGTTGCTGATTTTCTTGTTTCTTTTGATGAACTAAACTGTGAAGAGGATGGTGGGCTTAGAAGGAAAGGTAGAAGTGGAGACTGTCACATGGGATGTGGTTGTTTCGTTTTTTGTAAACATACGCCTCTATCAATACAATTTAGATTAGTTGGGAGGTGGGCTGCTTCTTCCCTGCTTGTCTGGTCTATCCTGAACTCAGTGGAATGCGCCTCAGCATCTGGGTAGAATATCTTCGCCGCTTGGGAATACAACGAACGTATTTTGAGCGGAAGGCAAAAAGCCCAGATCTAACCGTTACATCTCAAATGTCGGATAGAATTGCTGCGTCGAAAACATCCTCTTAACAATACAATATCTACCATAATTTTTTATACAGACCCAGTCTGGCTGTCTTTGATCGAGGCCCATGGTCCCATAAGCCAGGTACGGAAAACATTATCAACTAGGTCCGGATTAAAAAAGAAAAATACAACTCATGATGCATGATAAGCCCTTTCCACTTACCACAA